CAGCCCTAGTTTGTCTGCTCCGCCCTCTCAGTATGAACTGGGTTCAAGTGTGGACAGGGACCTTAAGGAGAACCTGTATGGACCTGAAACTCATCATGTCTGGGGGGGCACACGGGGGGTAAAGAGGGTATGGAAGGGTGAAATGTGCAGTATCAGGGGGCAACATCTTACTGCGTCATGTAGTTTAGGTGCTGGGGATTCCCTCATGATGTGTGTGTGGGGGGATTCCTTTCCCCTTGATCATCTGGAAAGTGATGTGATAAACACATTAAACTTTTTTTTCACTTCAGCCCTGAAGCTCACTTGGTTTGTCTCTAGTACATGTGGCATGGTCGCAACAGGGTGAGACATCTCGTCCAGCTGAGTGGAGCTGGATGCTGGTGGCCCAGCCCATGCTGATGACAGATATTGACACGGGGCTGCAGGGCAGACTGGTGACAGAGGAAAACATCAGAGGTTAATAAAACAAAACAAATTAAACAAAGAAATCTGGTTATCAATACTGTTGTCTGAGTTCACAGGCCCTGCAATGGGGCTTTGATTAATCCTTGTGCAGATGTGAGCACCATTTTTATGAGGCTGTACTGACCTTCCCAAAACATGTGAAGAACTGTCAAGGTGGCCACTAAGTCTTTAAGCTTATGGCATTTAATTGTTTTTGTTTTGTTGCTTCTCCAGAAAGTTATTTCAATTCTGTAGATTTTAGCAACTAACATAAGAATGATTTTTTTTTTAATGCAGTGAGCAGATACATTTCTTGTATACCTTAAATCACAGTTTGGTAGCAACAAAAAATGACTGAGAAGAAACCAAAAAATGCAGCACACTGTTGATCACTTGAACTCAGTTAATTGCTAATTAATAAAAAGAGCAAAAATTCCCACCAGCTTTGGGAGCAGAATCACTTCTCAAAGTGACCTTTGATTTTCTTGCAACAGCTGATAGTGAGGAATATCCAAGCTCTATTCTGACAGATATCAGTGCAGCATATTCTACCTTAGACCAGTGGTTACTCACTTTTGGGGTTCAGGAGGTAGAGCGGGCCCTCGGCCCTTGGCCCCCATGTCCATGTGTTAAAGCAACACAGTCTGTACCCCATGTTGCTCCCAATGGGCAGGCCAGTGCCTTGAATGGCAACTCTGCTGCCACTGTTGAGTGTATGAATGGGTGAATGTGAGGCAGATTGCAAATTGCTTTGTCCTTTAAAGTAGAAAAAAGCACTATATACAGTACACAGACTATTTATCATTTCTCAGCATGGGCCTGAATAAATTACATCTACTGTTAAGCCAAAATGAAACACTATCTGTGGACATGAGTTATGAGCAGTTCAACCCTCTCAGGCTGTTTAACTAGATTTTTTTAAGGCCTGAAAACTTGAAAGTATAAAGTGTTTCATAAGAAACAAAACAAAACGGGAGAAAGGTCAGACTGAAATAAATACAACAATTACAACATAACTGTTATTAGGGCCACAGTTGGGGAGAACAGTATTCTGGGTTGGCCTAAAGGATGTTGTACCACAAAACTGGTACCCAAGAAAACACACATGAGCCAGTGTGATCTGTTTTGTCGAAAACTAACATAGCTTCAAAGACAGGCATGAGCAGGGCAGACAGCAGCACATGTAGGATGATCCCTGAAGGCTGTGGCTCTCACAGACAACAGCCTTCATTCTGTCAGTGAAATCAAACACTATGTTATTGATAAGTGGTTTCAGCCCGCACTTTCAACAAGGCCATATGACTCAGTGAGACATCATGACTTAGGCTGCATGGATGAATCAATTTGTGTCTGCACATACACATGCATCTGTTGTAAAATGCATGTAGAAATGGAGATTTTGTGGAAGTCATGTGAACTTTGAAAACAATTCCACAAAACACAGGAACCTTTCCTCATCTCTGGTAGATGTTAGTTGTGGGGTCCAACTACACTTTTCCATTTTGTCGTCTAACCTCCAATCTATGTGATTTGAGTTTTAGTCCCCATGAGCTACACAATGAGCCTGAGATGCTGAAACTAACATGACTGACATGTTAATGTTATTTGCTTGAAGGCTTTAAGTACATGATGATTTTAGGATCAATGCACAGTGCTGACCCTTAAAATAAAGTGCCATCAGTGTCATCACATTCTACCCAAAAAATATTCATGCAGTATATCACAGATTTTCCACGTTAAAAGCTATTTTATAATTATATTAATGTAGAATATAATTGTCATAATGTAGACATATAGGCAGATGTAAATGTTTAGTAATGTATTTGTCTACGACTATAACTCTTTCTTTAAACTAAATTATTGATTAAATTTCAACAGATGGTTTGTAAGTGTCTGTATATTGCATGAAGAACGTCACAGTAAAATGTTTAAACTAAAAAAAAAACCAGCCTAAGAGTCATGCCACATGGTAGTGGTCCCACAAGACCGTACTGATAATGTCCTCATGCTAACATGCTCACAATGACCATGTTGACATGGTGATGTTTAGCAGGTACAGTGTTTACCATGTACAGCTGAGGCTCTTAGGAATGTCATTAGTTTTACAGAGATGTATAAAACATGTATTTGGTCATCAACCAAAACATTGGACAAAATAAAATTTTGACCTGAGGGTGAAAAGTGTTTATCAGAGTTGTTTGAATTTCTCTTGAAGGCACCATGACACAAATTATATCATGTCAATAGAAATCAAAAACCTCAACATGCTCCACATGCTCAACTGCTGCAATCCCGCCATAGTAATAGTTATCACACTGAGAAAATACATACATACACCCCACAGTGAGAGACAGTGGGCCCCTGCTAAAAACAGTGTGGCACAGGACTGTTATCACCAGTGGTGGAAGCTATCTGCCGTGTCCATGTGTCTCAACATACAGTGTACAGACACTCCCAGTCTCCATATAGCATCTTCATAAGCTTTAGTGTTAACACATTATTTTGGGGAATTTAAAGATAGTAGACTGAAATAAAGACGGTTCCGAACTCTGTTTTGCACAGTGCAAGATTAGAAATAAATGTGTAGAATGAAAAAGCATATGATCAACAGAATACCTCATAACAACCCAGTTTAGAAGGATATAACATAAAAGCGCCTATATATGAAGCACCAGACATGTGGACAGAGTGTGAGTTGGACTTTTACCCAAGTTGGTAAGAACCTGCAACAACAAGAAGATAAGAGATGAGAGGGAAATCTCATTGGCTGAAATACATAATGACATATAAGCCAGTGTTTGTAGCTGATAATGCTGTGGAGTCATTTAAAATGTCAGTCGACCAATCACAAACCACCAAATTCACGTGGCTACGGTATCGATAAAAACTACTCAACCATTCACTGGATGTTTTCATGTTTAGTTGTCTTATAACATTGAATCAAAGTAGATTTATTTAGGCTTTTTCTCACAGAGAAAATAACTTTTAACGTCAAAGTGATCTAAATTCATTAGAAAATATAAAACACCAAATACTTGTTTACTTAAGTATTCCCCCTCTTACTAATAGGATACGCCTAAATCATCACTGGTGCAGCCAGTTGGTCACATACTTAGTTAAATGGAGATCAATTGTGTGCAGTCTATTGATTTAAAAGTACTGGAAGGTAAGACTTCAACACTCTTGCAGGCAGAGTACTGGACATTTTCAAACCGCTTACTGGAGGACTGAGTGTAGGGCAGCACACATCGGCTCTATCAGCATTACAACAACCTGGCTGCTGTGAGTTATCACTGAGAGCCAGAGCCAGAGCCATCACCAAAGACCCACCTAGTTGTAGTGTAACACACCAAACCACACAATATACCATCCATTAACAAGTAGTAAATGCAGTGTGGGTCATTCCTACTTCATTTCAGCGAAACGGAAAAGTCAGTTTAACCACTATTACAATTCTTTAAGTCAGAATGCTAATACATGTTTATTCTTCATAGACTGGCTGTGATCATATTTTATTTATAATGACATTTATATAATTTCAGTGATGAGATACTAGTGATTCTCCCTTTCTATGTACAATTCCTGAATCTGATTTGTGTGCTCAATGGTCTCTGACCATATACCTAGAGATAAAGATACAAAATATTATGTTTCAGCATGTTCTCAGTTGAGAAAAGGCAAAATTTCAACAATTTCAAGAGGTTAGTAATGCTTGCAGCATGTATTTGCAATATGAATTGAAACTACAGCACATACTACAAACCCCAAAAAATCTTATAACTTTAACTACATAAAACCAATTGACAGAACAACAGAATGCAAAAACAGCCTCAATAGTTGTAGCAGTTTTTTCAGACCACTACATATTCATCTCTTCATTTGAATTCTCTCTGTTCTTGAGTTCAGTGTGGCACCTTCCTCTTTCTGAGCTGGGGGATGCCCAGAGCCAAAAAGCGAAAATGTGACTCTTTCTTGAATTTGGCGCCCCTTAGTGTAAACAGTGAGGCAAGATCCTGCATGACTATGACTAAATGATTAGTTTTTTTTTGGTCTGCTCATCATGATAAAGTTCAGCTGTAATACTGAAAAGTCATCAAGTGTTTGTTTTTTGTTGGTGTTTCCCCAGCAGTGAATTAGAGTTTTAGTTAAAGATAATTTAACAAATTATGGAACAACAGGACTTCAAAGTTTCTCATTTTATTGTCTGAAGTGTCAGTATGTTACGTGTGGAACTTAAATAACTGCCAACACAACAAACAGAAAAACCTGTCTAACCTGTATTACTAATTAGTTGCTAGTTGCTGGAAAACATTACCAAGAGACACATCATGTCAACAAATGGATAATACCCAAAAGAGCAGCTGTGACTCACAATAGCACACCATTACCACACCCACTTAGGAATTTAAAGAAAATACAGTGGTGTTGTTAAACCAGGTAAGAGCTTAGACAAAGAGTATAATACTGTACCTTTTGTGTCTGTATGAAACTGTGAGGTAATCATGCATATAGTTTATACAGTGTGTTGAAAACAGGAAAAAGTGACAAACGAGCAATTAAACAACCATTACCTTTATTCAAAGTCTACAGTTTGGACATCTGAGTTAACAAAGCAAAATGATTAGTGGAAAATGAGCTGACATCAAATCAGAGTGAGCTGACAGACCAGTGGGTGGTGGTCTTCAGAAGCACTGCCGATGGTTGCTCTAGTACAAGTACCAGTTCAAACAACAGAGGAGCTTAAAACCAGAGTCAGACCACACACTCGGCAGAGCTCAGCTGCTCCAAACTATTACAATCACTCATTTAAATGTTTTAACTTATTCCAGTTTGAAATGCATAAAGATAGAAAACTATTGTAATCTTAATGTTTCTTTACCTACCACAAATTCTGACATTGTTTAGCACTCCAAGTGTTTTAAATAATTATGAATGCTCATACAAATGCTATAATAACAGGTTATTCAGCATAGACCAGAACTGAGGCAGATATCAAAGAGTCTCCCTTTGTGATTAAAAAATATGTGCAATTCCTTTTACTGTCCTTGCATTCACTGAAAAGTGGTAATTGCATCTGCGATCAATAAACTAAGACAACTAAGACATAGAACAAAAAAAAAAAAACAATTAGGCAATCAGGCTGTAGGAAAATAAAAGTGAGCTCCCTCCAACTCAAACCCCTCTGCAACATCTTCTCCCCATCTCTGCTCCTATAAGGAGGGAATTCCAGGAAAGGATTCATCATACCACAACCCTTATTACTTTAGGCCACAGTAATCATTAACAGCCTGGAGCACCACTATGGGAGCAGAGAGAGGAGCCAGACGGCAGAGCAGAGTTTGGTGATATGCATCAGAGAAAGTAGCTAGTGGTCGTAGTGCATCTCTGTTGGATTTGTTCTACCCCAGTCTGTTTTAATAAGGTTGGGGTAAACCAGAGGTGGCATTTGGCAGTTTACAGTTGCACTGGCCTGTCTCGATGCTGCTGATGTTAGAGCAGGACGGAGGGAGGTTTACATGATGACGCATGGTGCGCGGCTTTTGGTGATCTTCTGCACAGGTTTCCCATCTTGGGCACTCTGGACTGCATTCATGACCTGTAGCAGGAAACAGACCAACACAAATCAGAGACTGTTATTGCTGTGGTTTGTATTTTATGGGTATGGGTATAAGTCTATGTTACTCACATCATCCTCATAGGGGAAGCCACCAGTCTCAAGCTTGGAGAAGACCAGCTGCCCATTGATTTCAATCTCGAAGCTGCCTGAGGTACAAAATAAAAGGAGATAAGATTAGATTTCTGGGGTGATCTTTGATCCAGAAATGAATGGCTTCACATAATGGTCAGATCAGACATACAAATCCTGGATCCAAGTTGAATTATTTCCTCATTGAGTTTAAATAATACTTACCCTGTCTTCCCACGACGCCTGACACATCCGCTTCGGGAAACTCACCCTTGACAACAGAGGCGAGATCCCGATAGCGGGGCTCGTAACCTCATCCACCACTGTAGGAAAAACAAACACATTTAACAACGGTTAGCAGTCATTGTGTTTCTGAAGCTACAACCAGTGCTGCCCAGTCACCTAAGCTTATCTTAGCTGTGAGCTAATGATGCTAATGCTGGCTAATCTACAGTGATAACCTCCTTTAAAATGAGACCTATGGGACGAACACAGACACAAGTTGGCTGGAAACTTCAACAAAATGCAAATGAATGTAATAAAACCATATCAGTACCAGTATTCCACCATAATTTTCACCCCCATCGCTGCTGTTGCTCAGGCTTCGTCACAGGCTCCGGGCTCGATTAAGTGTATGGTGTGTTTGCTGCTTGTATAACGCTGAGCCGGAGAGCTGGGCGGAGTTTAAAGCGTACCACACCAGTCACACCAGCTGACATTTACTCACACCGAAATCAAAGATAGTGCAGGCACAAATTCCTTAAACTGTTTTACATTTCCTGGAGCAAATTGTCGTCGGTGACACACAGAGGACTGAAGTTTTCTGTAGCTGTCTAACATGAATAGTAATAGTACTGTCACAGCCTCTGACCTAGAGGCTAATCTTGGGTGCCAACACCAAGCAGGGGGACACACGGAACCCATGCACACTTCACCACTAGTTTTATTAACATTGTTGCTATCCATGTTGGCTCCAATAATGTGAGGATGAAGCAGTTATAAATCAAAGCTAAACAAATCTGGCCCATACATTAGCCACGTGCTTTTTTTTCTCCCAGTATACACAGAATCTGGCCTATATACAGCATGACTGTCAGATGCCACTTCCACGTCTGGATCAGTTCTGGCTCACACACAGAAAATCTTCTGTCTGTCAGACAATAACAGCTGGAATCTGCCCAGATGTGGAAGTATATGGGCAGGACTCTGGCCAAGGACCCAGGAATATGTTGGGCCAGATGTTTCATTTTGCAGACGTTTCAGTTTGCCAGAGAGATATGTTGACATCAAGTTATTTCCAGTCAGAGAAATACTCAGGGGGCTGACTTTCAGATTGACAGCCAAGTCTAAAAAGTAGAGACATTCTCCCTCCCACACTGTATTACTCACAAGTTCCCTAAATACATGAAGCACAAAATTCTAATGATCATTCCTATGACTTGTGGTGAAGTGACTACCACCAAGCGTTCACAGGCCACCAAAATGTTCTATTAAAGAGATTTCTTATTCCAATAAACTCATTATCTACTAGTAGCTCTACAAACTGGCCAATTACTGAAAACTCAACAAGACCCTCAAATTTAGTTTTTATAAATGTCAGATCATTATTTACTGAAGCCTAATGATAAATGATTTCATTCTTCAGCATAATATGGAAATATCAGATATATTTATGAGAACGACATAGCTTAAACCAAATGTTTTCTTATGATTAGACGCCAGCAAATAGCCTCCCCACCTGAGTACACCAATGTCCATGTTGCTCTGCTACTGAAAAAGGTGGGTGTCTTGCCTTAGTCTACAAGTCTATTTCTGATTTAACCTTCAAACTGGATGTTGCTTTTAACTCTTTTGAGGCTCTTGTATAAAAAACCATCTCAATCAGCTACGAATGACTTTGTCCAGGGCAACAGACTCCACCTTGTGGTACAATTGGTGCCTCATTCCAGATGTTGTGGATCTGGATCATTGTCCTCCAAGATTCCCAGCCTCCTCCTTGTCTTTTTCTTGCTCTGTGTGTTTGTTTCCTTCCTATACATGTGCATGATTATGAAAGAAATGCATTTAATAGTAAAGGTCCCCAACTATATAAAATATAACAAAATGTGCCTCAGAAAAATAGTCACATGTAAGCTGATATAGTTACGTAATAGTGGCAATACTGCAATATAAAAATACTCTATAACAAGTAAAAATCCTGCATTAAAGTATCCAAATTAAAATAGTACAGAAAGTGTTTTACTGTTTATGTTACATTAAGAATAGTCTGTCAGTGTTTTTACAAAATAAACTGTCTCTATCTGTCTATCTGTGTGTGCGTGCGTGTGTGTGTGTGTGGTAAATGATAAATGCCTCACACACTCTTTGTGTTTTTCTTCAGAGTGGACTGTTGACCTGTTGATGAGAGGTGTGGTTCTTACTGTCCACTGCATGTGTTTCTGATTACTCATTACAGACAACCTTCAGACTCATAAACACATAAAACACAAACTACTACTATCATTCCTTCAGTAGAAAACGTACTTTCTGCTCAAAGAACAAGGAAACACGGACGTGACATGAAGACACAATGTTTATTTTAAAATCGACCAACTTTTAGACAAACACAGAACCTGAGATGGCGACCAGTGAGCTGTCACCATGTAAGTTTTAGTTTCTGATGACCTATAATAACCTCATTACATCCATGATTATGTCTTGATTTTCAGTTTTAAAGACACTGTTATGAAAACCCAAATGATCACTTAGTAAAAGGAGTCCTCAGTGTCATAATTTTAAATGTCTTAATATTTTTTTATTTTAATTTGACAATTTTTGTGCATTGTAGTTTTATTGATCAGCCTGTAATTCATTGTCATATCATTCTTTCAAGTGTGATATGATTGAAGGAGTTAATAATGTTATATTAGATTTTGTTTAATATGTTTAAAATAGAATATGTTGGGCCTATCATGTACATTTTCAGGGCTATGACTTTTCTATTTTCATTGTTAAATTATGTGGTGATTATTTTCTCAATTAGTTGTTTAACTGTTTTGTTAATAAATTGTCAGACGATAGTAAAGAAAAGGCCATTAATTAAAGTCAATCTAATATATATATATATATATATATATATATATATATACACATATGTATGTATATATAACAGCCCAAAACCCAAAGATCCTCAAATTACTTTCATATAAGACCAAGAAAATATTTACATTTCAGAAAGTGGAACAAGTGAAGTTTTGCTTTGAAATTCTTAAATGATGAATCAATCAGCACAGGTTTCAAAGATATTAAAATTCAAACATATTCAATGTGCTATCATAATAAACAAAGAGAACCAAATATTCACATTTAAGAAGCTGAAACCTGAGAGGTTTTGCTGTTTTTGCTTTAAGATTACTTAATCAATGGATTATCAACAAATTGTTGCTGCTTAATGTTCTGTCAAAGACATTCAAACTCAAACAAATTCAGTTTACTGTCATAAAAGACAAAAAACACTAGAAAATATTTACATTTAAAGAGCTGACACCAGTGATTTCTTTGGATTATCAACACTGTGGCCAATTAAATTGACTAATGGATTAATTGAGTAAATGTTTCAGGGTTACATTTTGCTCATTGTTTGCTCATGGTATGAATGCACTTTGATCTGTCCCTGCTCAAATGAGAATTTATCAACCCATTTGAACAAGGAATTTGATTTTAGGTGATGTAGCTTTAATATTAACCTTCTCATCCTTGTGTCCTCTTTTCCTAATTGTGACCTGATGTATTTCTCTTCTTTAGGGGGAGGCTGGTGCACGTCACAGTTAAAGATCGTCCTTCTTGGTGGCAGAAACTCTGGAAAGAGATCTGTGGGAAACTTACTCCTGGGAAAAGAGGAGTTTGTCACCAAAGAGAGGACCTCCTGCTCCCGGAGGCTGGGCATGGTGGCCGGACGGTGGCTCACAGTGGTGGACACTCCCGGCTGGTGGTGCGACTTCAGCGCTCAGGACACATCCGAGCTGGTGAAGAGGGAGATCATAAGTAGCGTCTCTCTATGCTCGCCAGGCCCACATGTATTTTTGATCACGGTCAAGGCGAGCTCGGCCTTCTCGGAGAAGCGCCGGCGGGCTGTGGAGGAGCACGTGGCCCTACTGGGTGAGACGGTGTGGAGTCACTGCATGGTTGTCTTCACCTCTGTTGACAGGTCCAAACAAACAGGAGCAGAGGAGCATGTACAAACAGAGGGAAAGGCTGTCCGCTGGCTCAGGGAGAAGTGCAGTCTGAGGTGTCACAGTGTTGTCCTGAGCGATGATCCTGAAATCACAGAGCTGCTCGAGAAGATACAGAAACTTGTCACAGAAAATGGAAACAGAGTGTTTGAAATGCAGGAAAACATTTTACAGGCGGCTGCAGAGGAGAAGAGACGAGCGGAGGAGAGAGCTCAGCAGAGGTTTCTGAGGATGAAAAAACACAGAGCTCTCATGCAAAGTGAGATAATTATCATATTTAAAATGTTTTGCTTCACAGAGACATTTTGTCTCAAACACTGCTGAGTTCTACAATGTCTTTAGATGTTCACTTGATGCTCCTTTCTTTGTTCAGCCGTAATTTGCTTTGCTGTTAATGCAAATTCCAGTAGTTACATTAATTTTATTCATACTGTAACTACATGGAAGTAAAAAATATGCTACGGGCTAAAAATGTATAAACAGCTAGTAGGTCCTCATCAAATCATCATGCTACATAGAAAATATATTGAATGTAAGTCGGAATAAACACTGAAGCAACTTAAAAAAACCTCCCTTTGCTCTGTATTTCCACATTGATTCTTTCAGAGAGGTCGCGACCCATTACCAATATCAGGATTGTGTTGGTGGGAGCAAAGGGTTCTGGGAAGACTTCAGCACTGAATACAATCCTGGGCAGAGACAGCACCCAGCCACTCAGGAGAACAGCTCAGTGTCAGGTTGGAGAAGGAGTGGTGTTTGGGAGACAGCTGACCGTGGTGGACACTCCAGGCTGGTGGATGAACTACTTCTGTGAGGAGAGTACCATCTTTGACCAGAGGGAGCTGGTGGTCAGTTTGTCTCGCTGTCCTCCAGGGCCTCATGTCTTCCTGCTGGTGATCCGTGTGGACAGAGCCTTTACAGAAACCTACAGGAGAGCAGCACAGCAGCACCTCCAGCTGATCAGTGAGCACATCTGGGGTCGTGTCATCGTGCTGTTTGGTTTCGGGGACTGGCTGGGAGGCACGACCACTGAGCAGTACATAGAGAGCGTGGGAGAGCCTCTGCGGTGGCTCCTTGAAAGATGCGGCAACAGGTATCACATCCTGAACAATAAGACTAAAGGAGATGGATTTCAAGTCAGAGATCTGATTGGTAAGATTGAAGAAATGCTGACTGGGGGCAACAGTTACCAATATTATGAAATAGAGAGGAATGTGATGGAACAGCTGGAGGTGAAGATGAGAGGAGAGAAGGAGAGAGCCAAGGAGAGACTGATGAAGAAGGAGAAACAAAGGCAGATGGCGAGGTCTCAGCTGGGTGAGTTAACCACAGTTAAAAGCGATAAGCACTGTCAGCATGATGCTGTTTCACTTATTTAATAAACAATATTTAATTTAACTGATCAGATGTTCTTTTCTGTTTGGATTTGAGGACACAGTTCAACTGGACAAAGTTTGTTTGCCATGTTTCTAATAGAGCTGTCAAACTTCTTTCCAAACAGAGAAGCTCAACCCTCTTCCAGAAATGAGGATAGTGCTTGTTGGTGGCAGGAGAACAGGCAAAAGCTCATGTGGAAACACCATCCTTAGCAGAGAGTGCTTCGACACTGACAGCCAAACCACTTCCTGCACTGAAAAACGAGGCAAAATCAGCAGCAAGATGGTTACAGTGCTGGACACACCAGGGTGCTTCTCTGTGACCTCTGACCTCTTCATGGCTCCTTCATCCTGTGCTATCCTTCTAGTTGTTAACATGAGCTCCTCATTCAAAGATACCCACAGGGAAGACTTGGAGAAACAGCTGGAGGCAGGAGGAGGCCAGATGTGGAGAAGAGCTGTGGTCCTGTTCAGCTACGGCGACTGGCTGGGCGACACGAGCATCGAGCAGCGCATCGAGAGTGAAGGAGAGCCGCTGCAGACACTTGTCGAGAAGTGTGGCAACAGATATCATGTCCTGGACAATAAACACCGGGGGGATGGGGCTCAGGTTAATGAGCTGATTGAACTGATGGAGGAGATGCTGGTTGAAGACAGGCTGGCTCTTCACAGAGGTGACCGTATGTGGAAACGTGTCTCTGCAGCACAAGAGCAGGAGCCGGACGCAGCGATTCTGTGTAAGAAGGATCTAAATGTGTCCTGTGACTGTGAGTAAACCTAAACTGCTTGTTTTAGAGAAGTGGTTCCAGAGATGGGATTTCCCCATAGTTGCAGGAGAAGTCTGAGGGGTCATGAGACAATTCAGAAACAAAATCCCTTTAGTGTTATTGTTAATTACATTTATTTTTCTGAATTTTCTCTAATATTTGATTTCATCTCCTGAGAATTACTGGATCATCTCTTAAGACCTCTATCAAAACAATCACTTATCAAATGACTTGCAATACACATGTGATCAATGACCAAGGATCACAAGAAGATATTACTTCATTTTGAGAGGTCACAAGCCAGAAAGGTTGGGAAACAGTGTCAGAGCATCTGTTTCTGTACTTTCACACACACTTTTTCCTATTGCAGCTCTAAAATTCAGACACAATATAAACAGAAAAAAAACAAACTCATCGTTTCACTTACGTTTAGGGAAACATGATAATGATGTATTTGGCAATATTTTTTTACACAAACTACCATGATTTTAAAGAGTCTTATATTTGTATATATATATATTTCTATATATTTGTTGAAGTGAGATATTAAAAAATTAATTTTGTTATCTTATGCTAATTAAAACAGAAGAGAGACAGAGAAGATAATAATTAAATAAAATAAAAATATAGAATAAATCAAATATAATAAATCAGGTGTAAAATCACTGCAGTCTGTATGAAAATATTTCTGTAAATTTCTATAATAATGTGATATTATTCCTGAAAACAAACCGTTAATCCTGCAGATATTTCTGAAATTATCTCTGTTAAAGTTCTTAAATATTCGGATAATTTTCCTGTTAATCTGCTAAAATATTACTGAAAATATTCTCATAACAAATTATAATAACTTTAAAAAACCAAATAAATGATAAATACCAATTATATACAATCTTAAACAACAAAATAAAGTGAAAAAAATAGAGGTTTTTATTGTTTGACCACATTTTGTTTAGTTGTTTTATTGTTTTTCCACAGACACACGCGCACGCACTTATATTCACTTGTGTAATGTACCTCATGTCGTCCGAGCTCAGATTAGATCCGACGCCTCAGGGTTGAAGAACGACCTTCCTCTCTGGGCCAGCTTCAGCTCTCTCAACTCTCAGACTTTGACCCTGACTCACCTGCAGCAGGTGGGGCTCAGCTGACAGAGGAGGACACTTTGGGCCTCGTGTACCAAAGCCTTGCGTAGAATTCATACTGAAACGTGGCGTACGCACGAAACTGGAAAGATGCGTATGCACCAAAAAATTCACACGTCTGAAACCGTGCACGCGCAGGATTCCACGCACATTTTCTCACAGAATTATTTTTCACGAACTTAATTCACGTTCTCTTGATTGAAATGAGTCAAAATATTTACAGCAGGATGTTTTTTTTTTCTTTCCTTTTTTTTCACAGCCATGCTCGTTTCAATAGACTCTCACGTGGAATGAAGCAACGCGACACTATGAGACTATCCAAATCTTTTCCAATTTTACACGTTAGTTTATCAACGAAAGTAAATGACCCACACAGACAAACAATATACATATACATATATGTATTTATATACACACGTGGTGGTGTGCAGACTAGTTTATTATTCTTAACGATTTCACAGTATTATGAATGAATTGTGGTTTATTTGGTAGTTTCTCCTGGTGTGACTAATTTTACTAATTGCATTAGTTCTGTACGGAAATAGAAGGACGCTATTTGATAGCGGCTGCCCATGTCGCCCGTATATAAATCCGCCAATGAACATGGGGAGGGATCAAATAAAATCTGGTTCATGGTTCAAACGAGGACGTAACCCTCTTGGTAAAAGAGAAACAGGTTTATATCTTAGGATGGATGGAGGTGGTTGTTTAAGGATAGGCTGGAATTCTTATGGCTCCCATGAAATCACATCACTGTTATTATTTCCTTTACAGCCACTGAACTGGCCTCTTCTACGACACAAACATCACTACACTGTTGTGGAGGTGCAGGTGCTGATGGTCAGATAGTGGCAGCACCAGTAGGAAGAGCAGGAGGATGGACTGCACTCACCACCCTGGACAGAGACAGCTTCATGTCCATCTTATCATCGATGCTCTCTGGTGAAAGACGACTGAGGTGGACTGCTGCAGGCCAACAGAGATTAACAGTAAATCTGCCCAGCTGGTTCCCTGCTGATGATCCTCACAGCAGCCTGAGACTGAACGGTGAAAGCCAGGTGCGTCCGTTCTCACCCACACATCCAAAAATGCTTTTGATTTTACCTCAAACACAGAACAGGATGCTCACAGAGGAAAATGTCATGAATGTGCATTCCCTTTGCCATCCTGCCCTGAGAGAACGGACCCTTAGGAGGCTCACTGAGTCAGGAGGCCTGCAGCAGCTGATTGACCAGTGGGGTGACAGCAGCCTGGAGGAGCTGGAAGCCTTTATAGACGCATACTTTGAGATGGTGTGGGAACAAACCATTGGGCCATTCCAGCCGACTGAGCTCGACTCTCCTGCCACAGAGCAGGACACTGCGGTCTGGGAGGCAGGAGAGGAGGAAGTGCTCTCATCCATAGACAGGAAACTCTCAAAGCTGGAGCTCCTCGAGGAGATCAGGAGCGATCTGTCTGAGCTGAGGGAGAGTGTGGAGCACAGCTGGAGGATCATACAGGAACTCAGAGACAAAAGTGAACAAGACCCCAATCACACATGTTGATACAAGAGAAATCAAGAATCAAAGATGGAGGAAGTAAGATAGTATTAATTGTTATTTAACTTTACAGTAAGTACATTTACTCAAGTATTTTACTTGAAGTACTTGCAGTCTACTTGAGTAGCCTATTTTCATTCTCTGCCGCTTGTTACTTCTAATCATCAGGTGCATATACTTTTTACTCCACTTCATTTATTTGATAACTGTAGTTTCCTTGCAGATTCGCATTAACACTGCAAAATAGCATGATTTATGATATATTATATAAGTTAATAAAATAAGATAAAACTTCATTGAACCCTGGTGAGAAATTCACAAGCTACACAGCAGTGTTCAATGTAGTTAAAACAAGCCCCACACACTGCCAGCTGCAACATTGAAATGATATACACATCAATACATCATTTAACAGTAATATAACATACATTATTATGATTATACTCTTGTACCTTTTGAATGCAGGGTTCTTACTTGTAACAGAATATTTCTGCAATGTGGTTACATTAGTAAAAAAGTCTCAGAACCTCTATGTAGTTTTGTTATGATATTTCTCCACAAGGGGGCGGTGCTGTATAAGAGTGGGTTTTGCATATTATTGTATCCTTGTGTCCACCGATCCACCACAATACATTTGTTTTTCTTATAAATGTTGAAATAGATTAAGTAAAGTGAGTTTGATGGTTAGTTACTCCATGACTAAACAGTGAAGAATGAAACCAGATTTTGCAATTACATTTTCCCCATTTTCTCCAATATGGACCATATACACTAAGGAATGTTTCCAGAAGTATATGGACACTTAAACATTACACACATATGTGAAGAAATCTGTATTTTTTTTTAAAAATATATTTATTTTATGTTGAGATCGCATTAGTTGTTTGTGTGTTGACCCAATTCTCAGGCAAAGTTTGAGCTTGTACTAAATGCTGTTTCTAATAATTCTATTATATGAGGAGAAGCAAAACACATTAACACAATGCAGAAAAGCAGAACATCGAAACAGCCTCAGCACAACCCTGGCATACTTTTAACAGCAATTAGAAATGAGATTATGTGAAGAGTATATGGACACCCGAACATTACACCCATTCGTCTTGTTAAATATGTCATTCCAAAACTGTGGGCATTAATCTGCTGCTGAAACAGTCTCCACTCATGTGGGAAGGTTTTCTACAAGATTTTCAAACCTGACTGCAGGGATTTGCTCCCATTTAGTCACAAGAGCATTAGTGCGATTAGCATTAGGCCTGGCTCTCAGTCGGCGTTGCAGTTCATCCAAAAGTTTCATCCCAACGGGGTTTGAGGTCCTGGCTCTGTGCAAGTCAGTCAAGTGAGAAAACCATTTCTTTTTTTGACATCCCTGCATGAAAGGCATGAAAGAAAAAAGCTAAAAGAGTGGAAGCTTAGAGGCCGGTCCATAATTATTCAAAGACCATAAATGTGGTGTGGCATCTTACATAGAGGTTTATCCTCAGCTCAAAATATTGGTAAGTGTCTGTCATATATGATAAATTATTAAAATACAGAGATCTTTAAAAGGTTTAGCTGGTACAGTATTTCAAGTGAGAGCCTCAAAATCTGTGAAAACAGAGACTCATTACATGAATTTGCAAACACAGTGTCTGTAGAAGTAACCGAGTATGAGGAACTTAAAAATATGGGGACAGAGGTTATGATCTCATGGAGATCGTCATGTGCAACCCAAGATGGGGTCACAAGTGTTTGACCTCACATTTAGGGTGTCAAAATACCATGTATTGTAATAGTCAAAACACAGCTTTTAGAGGGAATCTGTATAGTCGTACAAGAAGGGAGACACAGGATCAAAAAAGAAAAAACTTTTTTTTATGTTAAAATAGATCACTGCCCCCTGTTTACTGCTTGGGTGTAGAAAATAGAGATAGAAAGTAACCTGAAGAATATATACAGAAACTAACTATGGAAGAGAGGGGTGTGGATAACTGTTTCTCTGTTAACTCACTCACCTTATATCAAATGATTCCCTACAGCCTGGCAGCTTCTTGCACACTTGATAGATTGACATTAACTGCATTCAGGAGAACTCACATGTGTGCTTTTTCCAGTCTACAGCCAAATACTCTCACCTCCAGGAATCTGACAGAGGTTAAAAACAGGAAGTCAATGAAGCCATTTTCTTTGTAGAGAAAATAGAGAATCTGTATTTCTTCCATTCAAAGCCTTTTCTTGTCCAGGATTTATCAAGGGCTTTTAAGTGAGTCACACACACACAGACACATAATGCTGCAGAATTCAAAGGCTAATAGCAATATGGCTGAGTAAACACTGTGACAGTCCACTGCTGTCAAGGCCAATCTTTAAGTCCCCACAAAAAAGATTTTTCTGATGTAGGTAAAGTTGCTTGATCTAGTTTCCTGTTCTGGATGTGAAAAGTGAGATATATCTGAAATTTGAAAGCATCAATTTTCTATTTTTAGCCATGTCTGTGCTCTGGTCTGATGTGTTCATTCCTCACAAGAAACATCATTGTGTGTCCATCTCTTTTATTAAAGCTGCATTGAGCAACTGCACGTCAGTGACTCCACATGGCGGTGAGAGATAACTGCTTGAAAAATTCAAACCTCAATAACCAGATATCATGTAAAGGTGATGTCAGTGAACTGAACCAAGCTTTACACTTTTGATTTACTTCAGTTTAGCCGAATGAAAAAATACTCATGGGAGTGCAAAAATATTACATAGAAAGTTCAACTTTCTAAGTCAAACATAATAAGATACTGAGTCATAAGTATATCTCAACATTTTGGTCAAACTGAGATAGATAGATACTAGGTTAAAATTAAAATATAATAAGAAAAAGTTTGCTAGCAAGTGCAAGCATCTCTATAAGGCACTGAACACACAGCTGTGTTTTGAGCTGAATGCTAACATTAGCATGCTAACACGCTCACAGTAACAGTTGGTAGTGTCTCCAAAAGTTTACATTTTGACTCAGAAAGTCATCATTTTGACAAAGTATCTCTTAATTCTGAGATACTGCGAGTATCTTTATTAAAAACACAGAGAAATTGTATTTATTTGGGAACTGATACTCTTCTCAACTGTGTGACTGATAGAACAGGCAGATTTGAATGAAATTTGTTTTCTCCTCTTCGTCTACAGGTGAAGTTTTCCTTTCATGGCTCTTATCATCCACAGCGTTGTTTTACTCTGAGAGAGAACCCTGGTGTAAAGCTCCCAAAATGCAGTTATAACTGTGGTAGAAAAATCTCAAATGCGGGGATACAGGAAAGGGATGGAAACATTTCGGGGATGGTGTTACTGAGAGCATAATAGCAAAGGAGTGATTTGTAGGCAATCATGGTTTATTCATCTCTGTCAGTCTTCATCCAGAGGCTTTCTCTTCTTGCATTATACCTCTTTGAATATCATTACTCCTTCAACCCCCCCTCCCTGCTGTCTTATCATCTATCTTCCTTTGTTGTCAACATGTTATTCCTCCACTCTATTCTCCTGCTGCTCATTTTCCCTCTGCCCATTTTCTCTTTCCTATCTCACCACGTCTTTTCTCTCTCTGCTGTCCCATGCTTTCTGCAGTTCTTCATCCCACGGTCTCCCCTCCTTCTCTCAAATCAAGTCGTGAGTGCTCAGCCCTCCCCTCTCATTAAAGGAGTTCTGCAGCCCAGGAGGAAGCGCAGGAGAAATGGATCTCCCCTCTCTCTCTGTCATGGAGGCTGTTCAGGAGACAATTCTGAGCCCACATCCATCTCCATTAGCGAGACAGCGCAGCGACCGGCACGACCCCCCACCCGCCACCCTGTATCACGTTTCACTGCCTGCTATTTTTCCAGGTGGAAAAAGAAAGCCAGGCAGAGAGATGGGCAGGGGCTGGGAACAGCGATGGAGAATAAGGAAGAGAGGGATGATTTAGATCATCCATCCTCCACTTCCCTTCATGCTCTGATACGATGAAGTCCCTGCGGGGCAATGTCTGGGACACGGTACAGTGTTGACCAGTGCACCTCAGCAGGAGGGCTGAACTTGTCTACCCTTTCCAGCCCATAAAGAAAGTCTGCATCATGAACTCCCAACCTCACAGTGATACCGATTTCACGTACAGATTTTGGCTAAAATTGAGGATACAGTACAGAAACAGCTGTATCAGATGATAAGGCCAATCCACCTGAAACAAATCAAGTCAACTCTCAAAGGACAGCTCTGTTATGAGTACTTCACTGATCTAGTTTTGCACTTCAATAGCAGTGACTCATCAGACTCATCTGACTCATGATTGACAGTTAAAAAAAGGATCAAAATCGAGCTTGGAACCAGAGATACTGTCTTGTCTTTTTTAATTCCACAGATTCTCCTTCTTCAAAACAGGGTTCCTACATTACCCACAATGCAACTTGACCACTGACACTTCATTTGGAGATTCGGATATGTTAGGCTACTAGCGGCTGATGTAGCCTCGAGCTGTAAGCCTCACTGCTTTCTAACTCCTCGCCCTTGTATGTTCAGATCTTCACACAGCTCCCTCTGGAACCTCTAATGGCTTTTTACAGATGTGTTTCACATATGCAGCAGTACTCTGTACCTGTAAACAGACTTTGATGTGTATCATTGGAGTTCCCTGTTAACCTTTTGCGCCAAGTCGGAGCCAAGTCTAAAGTCAAGTGCGAAGTGTGAGGGCAAGGACCTTCATCCTTTACAACTGTTTTTCTACACAGCTGAGACCAAGTCCTAGCAGTGCACAGGACTAATAATGTTGCAGTATTTTACCAGGTCAACACATAAGCCTTGAATGATTTGGCTATTAAACCTGAAGTCAAGTCATAGAGTGAACTCTAAGTCTTAAAGCATCACTGTGTGACTTTGCGCAACAATTGGCATATTGGTATAAAGTATGCAGAATTTGAATTTCTCTCCCAAGGTCCCTTTTTTTTCAATCTTTACACACATAGGCTACTTCTCATACTTTTATGTGTAGTGTGCAACACCATGAATGCCTGTAAAATAGA